GCGCTGAAACTCAGAAGAACATAGTTTTTTTCAAAGTGTTAGCCAATTTAACACTGTTAACATGAACACTCCACTCCACCTAGGGCATGCTGTAAACATGTAGTCCGATAATGTTTTGTAATGAAAATTTCTGAACTACACCACATTTATAATAAGAGTTGACTTAATTCGGTTTCTGCTAAGTAAGTTCCGCTATTAAAAAAGGTACAATCTATACAAAAAAATCAAGCGCTTGATATTTTCTAAATCCCAGAACGGACGGGATGTGAGCGTACAGCTGGCGTCATAATTATAGTCTTTGGAAGTATCCTTGTGTTTGTTTGTTTGTTTTGTGTTTATTCGTTCCCATTCATCACAATGATTTATGCCAAACGTCTGTTAAACAAAGGCACCGATGATTTTGACCAATTTTATGAGAAACATAAATTAATTTTAATTACTTTTCTAAGTTTTCTTAAAGCAAAACAGAGGTAAAAGCTACACTTAAGTTCCTCTGTTGTTTATACAGAGTGTACTGTGGCTGAAACTGAAGTTTCAAACTTGAATTCTTTCTTTTATCCCAGAAGACCTCGCAATCCACAGATGTTACTCAATAACAAACATGTCAGGGAACTGCGTATAAAAATATGGTAGAAGGTGCTTCTATATTTCTCGACATTCGTTAGTCGACTGTTTGAGTCACTCTCGTCGTCTTCTGTGATTAATATTGCACGTGCACGCATGCGCGAACATTTTAATGATGGGGTCGCTTTTTTCTTGTCTCTTTACTATGCTTTTTAATTGAAGGATGACTCCGATTCATAGTGATTTAGACACTGCAGAATTTCATATTCAGGCGTTCTAAAGATGAAATTATGAAATGGCAGTAAGTTTGAGGGACCGAGTGCTAGCTATTCATCTAGAGGAAGTTTCGACTTACAAGTCCCTAGATTGTTCATTACATTTGTGTATACACATCTTGAAATACAAGTGTGGAAAGGCTGAAAAACCTGTGTCTTTTCAAGTAGTTTTTTAGAAGCTGCGTAGAAACTTAATTTATGAGACCTTGGACGATTTATTATATGGCTGTTGGGCATAATAAAATAAGTGAACGCGTGGGTGAGTTTACTACGTCCGCTTGTTGAAAGTTTTATTCTCTAAATTATTTTATGAGTTTTCATTAACCCTTGCATTGATGGTGTACAGGAAATTTTGTGGGCCAAATTTAAATCTGGAAATATAAATATTTTATCTTCTTAATTAAGCACCTCGTCATTATTATGTATGAAAGTGTAGTTACATGCCTTATTAACTTCGGCATTAAATCGAATGTGACAGGTCATAGGTTCTATTATGTTTAAATTGTTTCTCTACCAATCAAATACATGGAATTTAAAAATAGAAACATATTCCGAAACTTACAGTACAGTATGCACAGTGTATCGGAGTCCATTAAGCCTTTTCATCTTATTTTCATTAAGATGTTTATTAGAAGAAGACAGATTTATTTTCTGTCTCATTCTGGATAATTGAACTTGAAGCGTGATCACTTTTTTGGTTGTTACCATGAAATTTTGAAAGATGGAAATTTAATTTTGCTTAAGTCATCTGAATTTGATGCAACATCAACGGATAATGCAACGTTCTAAGTTGAATAAACAACATAGATTTATATATTAAATCTTGTCCGTCTAATCACAATAAATTCTTATTAAATATTAAAACATTACATTAGACCATCATTTTTCATGAAAAATGATGGTCTAATGTAATGTTTTAATATTTAATAAGAATTTATTGTGATTAGACGGACAAGATTTAATATATACTTATTATATCACAATATGACGCAACTTTACCATCTTACAAAATAGATTTACTGAGGTCAGGTGATCAAGGCGGTTGCCCCTATTTGATGCCTCTGAAAACGGTGTAATGTACTACAGGCTCTGACCACAGTTGGTTGCTTCGTACTCTTTTCCTGAAACTCGGGCAGAGCAGTGTCTAGAGAATAAAAGAAACAGGGCTAGAAAGAAAATGAGAGAGTAGGGGCTTTCATCAAGTCTTCTCTGCACATGATAACTCCTTTCCCCAGGGCTCTTAGACTTCTTTATACGGCCTCCTCGCACTTTATTAAGTCTCCCGCCAGTAGCAGCACTGTAGCATAGAGACTTGAAGGAGCTAGAAAGAATTGTTCCTCCGCGTTGGATGGAGGACAGGACCATTCCAGTCGCGCCATTGATTTGTAGAAAATCTCTCGAGGCAGAACGTTGTGTTGACGTAGATGGTGAATCTCCTGCTTTATAAAGTTGACTGTACACACCTGCTACGTAATTCCGCTTATTTCAGGTTTTGTTTTGTTAAATATTGACAATATTCAAAAAGATCCACGTAATGTGTTTCGAATTAGACTTGGGTCATATGTTATTTGGAGTACCTGTGTACCAGTATCTTTATTATCAGTCTTTTAAAATAGAGCCTGAACCATTTATGATGGAAACTAAGTTATACGATAATATTTTTTACACTTTTTAGTGAAAACCTGTCAATTTACATAATAAATGCAAGTTTGAGGTGGAATAGATAAGTCAATAAAGTACTGAACGAGTGTGGTTTGATTCTCGTCAGTGACGAGATTACTGTCTCTGACTCCACGTCAAAATCAGCTCCGAGGGTCATGCAGTTTTCATTTCAATGCGTACCGGATTATTTTCTCGGAGTTAAGGCTACCGGAATGTAAATCTGGTCAGACACTTCCATCTTATGATGGCACACAGAAAGGGTGACTGTTTGTTCTTACATTCACACCCATTATACGCCTTCGTCATCTCTCTCCCCCTCACTCACACACACATATATGCACAAATGTATAAGCTAAACTTTAATTTAGCCTATTTATTCAATATTCTTGCAAGCCATAACCTCTGTTGTCCTTTGTGCAATCACGTGGAAATAGATTTTTTCTTATATAGAATTAACATAAATCTGAATACAAATAGTGTGCGCTTTTCTCGTCTTCATGAACATCAAGGAAAATGGATTCTGACTGGAGTTTCACTCAGAATGACCCAGTAATTTTAAGCATTTTACAGTGTCTAGTTTTGTGACAAAGCTGACAGTAATGTATCAATTTCGCTAATATATTTTCTGATAATATTGATGTTATAAATATTTACAGATATTGTCACGAAATAAAATTATATAATAAAAATATTTAAAATGTAAATAATGTGAAACGCGTGTTGATCCTTTAAGGAAACGTTTGTTTATGTTTATATTAATGATGGTGGCAACAGATGCTTAATGAATTTGGTGGGAAATTGGAAGATGTAATTGGTCAGTGTAAAATACATACTAATGCATGTATGCGATGGTGTTGTAAGAAATTTCGACCGTAAGAGATCAAGTTTTGTGTTCCGTTTCTCCTTAGAATTTATTCTGAGATTGGCATCGGGTTCATTCCTCGGGTGTAAATCGGTCGGAGCGTGAAGACATCCACTCACATCTTTCTAAAGCCCAGGTTAAACATGTGTAGATGTAAACCTGAGCTCGACATGTTCTGATGTTTAATTAAGCTCCAGGAAGGACAAGTTCATTTTTAACTTATTCAGTCCTCAGATCCGCTGTAAGGCTCCACGGATTAAAGTCAGCTACTCGCGATGTCTGTCCGGTCACAAGATAACACGTGGAGACGAAAGTAGTCCACAGATAAACGGACTGGACGCGTTGAATGCCCGTATCCTTGCGCTTCGTATTTGTTCTTTCTTGGAATGTTGCGCCTGCCCCCTCCGGAAAACCGCAGTCCCGTGCGTCACACTTTGAGAACCGCAGGTAGGAAATAAAGATCCCAGTCTGTCCGTATCCCGTGTTCTCCGCCCTCTGATCGATCGATGCCCGATCCATCTCACTTCCCATCTCCCAGTATCGTTTGCAATGTAATCTTCCCAAAGTCACGGAATAGACGGAGGCCTGTTGGCATGGCAACCCGTTCATACGTTCTTCGACTGACGCTCTCTACGTCACATTCCTTCTTTACTTTTGTCTGTCTTAATTTTTCACCCTGTTGCTTTCATTCTGTTCTTTCCTTTATTCTGTCATCTGTCTTTTCTGTCTCGCTTCGCTTCATATTTTCAGTAAAAGACTTGAATATTTCTTGTTTCGTTATTCTGTCAACCTTCCACCCTGTCTGCATAGCGACGTAACTTTCTAGCGCAAGGTGGAGGCGTTACACGTGGGTTAAATGTTATGACCGTGATAATATCGACGGGAACAATGTTAAGGAGATATGAATGGAGTGCGAACTGGCTTCTGCTTCTCTGGAAAGGGGCTAGTGCTGGCTGTCGTGAACACGGCACCCAGTGGGTCTTTGAGTTCCATAAAAGACAGCGAACTTCTTTGACGTAAGCAACTTTCAGCTTCTTAAGAAGGAATCTGCTTCATGTGCTTAGTTAGATATTAGTTAAATATTAGCGAAGATACCTTCAACCAGACAAACCTACTATAATGCCCATCAAGACCATACAAATTTTACGGCCTACTAGAAATAACACCGAAATTACCTGACCGATTTTGTTCAAACTAGGATACTTAAAGTAACGCTAGATTTTTATGTGAGTTAATTTTGTTTATTTTAACTTACGTAAAGACGTAAATTAATTTTTAATGATTTTCTTGAGGTCAAGTTTTAGTAATGCACTGCACATTTTACAGCAAACGAAACACAGAATTTCACGGACACCGAAGGAATAATTTGCTCGTTATTATGAATTATATATATTTTAATTTAGCACATAAGTGAGTTATAGGACAAATGTAAACTGGACTGAAAACCACCCGATTCGTCTCGGTGCTGTCAATGTTGGCCTTCTGGGTTGTGACACCGTGTTTCGGAGGAACCTACAGCCTCCGTCTTCAGAGCTGAAGTGCACTTTACACTCGGCGTTAAAACTCGGGAGACCAACGCCGATATCTTCACCTTCGTGAGAATCTCATATCCCATTTTGTTTCTCTGTTGTTTATAGTCGTACGTCAGAGCTACGAAGTGCAAGTTTACAGAGCCCACGTCCTCCTAGGCAACACTGCCGTACTCCATTGCGTCATACCTGCCTTCGTTAAGGACTACGTAACAGTGACGTCGTGGTTTCGAGACGATACTATCATCCTGCCAGCCCGCGATGACGCCGGTAAGTGAACTGAAGTTTGATCTACGAATAAAGACCTACTTTTACGTACAAGTTTGATAGTTCACACACATTACTCAGAGAGTATTTAATCTTTCGAACTACAAAGAGAGATAGAGGAGACAGTGGAGGACGAACAGTGAATGGGGGGGGGGGGGGGGGGGGATTTTTTCCGTCTACGAAGGTTCCCAGGCAGAGCGCGCTCGTCCTTCTGGGAAAGGTAGTTTGGTAAATAATCTATAAGAATTCCGCCCCTAGTTCATGCTCGTAAGCACATCTCCATTATAAAGGTAAATCGATTTAGGGAAATAATCGCTGTTTATTTTAGGAATAATAAGAATATTCGTCGCCCTGGACCCAGTAACCACTCCAGAAATCTCGGTAGATTTTTACCAGATTACTCGCTGCAACATCCCAGAAGACAGTCATCTTTAGTTATGCTTTTAATCAGCTTTCGTTTTCAGACAGGTTTCATTGTGTGTCTTACACCCTATGACCATTGCTTTATCGGGTTCCAGACAGTGATGTAGTTTTATAGGATCGGATCAACCACAGAGGTGAGTGTGTTCTCAACACCTGATAGGTTTGCTCCGTCGTGATGCGAGTTTTCTGACTTGACGAGTGTGTCTGAGCCGTGAGGTCACTGGTAGCTGTACAGAGCGCAGTCACCCAGCAAACAAGCACTGTGCTTTTTTCTTTATGTCGAGGGTCGGTCCCTCGTGCACGGTTTTGTCCTTCGCCCTGACACTCGGCCTGTGGAAGCGAGTCAGGTATTCTGCGAACCCAGGAAATCCTATTTTTCACGGAATTGGGAGAAGATTCTTTCTTATTTGTTCTGCTACTAGAAAGAATATATGCCATTGTCCACAGACATCTCTTATTCTGAATGTATTTTCCCTCTCTTTCCTTCGTCTCTTTCCTATGAGTTTGGTCTTCTATCAATGTCCCAACAGTACAGAACACGTATTGCCAACATATGAACTACGTACAGTCGCCACCACTCAGTTTACATTTTACACAAAATTAAACTGTGATATAAAATTTTATAGATACAGACTACAAGAGTTACCGGGAGTAATAATTATGATTAGTGAGTTAAATATTATGTCATAGTCTGGGTACAGACATTTTTTTGGGGGGGAGGGCTGTTCAAGAAGACGGAAACGATATTCTCTATCGAAATCTCGGACGAGAAGCAGGAATACTGAAAACAGAACTGCAGGTTAAGTAATTTTGTCCTGGCAGTCGAGTCGTCTTTCTGAACTTGTCGGAAATTGCTTGTCTGTTCTGTATCGATACAATATTTCTTCTCCACTTTAAAATTTTACTTCTTTAGGCTAGTTACCTCTGGTGAACGTGGAATTGGCAATTCCATTCCTTGGGCATGGCAGACGTAAGCTGTCAACCTCTCATCTTCAAAACGCCCCTCACATTTTATTCTGCCAACTACTATCACTTCCAGCATCTTTCATTCCACGTGTAATCCTATCATCTGAACTGAAAACATTTGCTTGTTTCACTTTACTATTCTGCTGTTCGGTGCTTAATATTAGTTTCGTTTTTAGAATACTCTCAACTCCTCGTCCCATATTGAATAATTCTCATGAATGCTTTATTTTGTGTTAAATAACATATCAATAACATTGAAAATAAAACCTTAGCGGTCTCATAAAAGTCGTCGAATTTTTTGACTAGTTGAATGCGCAATTACCTTCTGAGAATCAATTTGCGTCACAGAATTGATTGGTTCTTGTAAGCCACACAATTTACATTGGGGGGAAATAAGATTCATAAGTCTATCCAACTATTTATCTATGTAATAAGTAATCATAATTTTCTGTTAAGGGACTTTGGGCCGAATGGGATACTATTTATGTGCGTTTAATACTTTACTCGTATAGACCTGATCAATTGGTAGAATTTGTTTAGAGATGGAAGGTCTCTTCAAACCTTGTTGTGATGTTACGTTGGATTGAAGGAGACAAAATGACTTGAGTCTGATACAGACAAAGTCTGAAACAAGGGTTCAAAGATGGGACCATAAGTCCCATGAAAAGAAAGATGTAACTCAGAAAGTTGGAAAGACTTGACTTGAAGTCTTCACTCAATCCACCAGCCCTCCGGACGACCACTACAGGAAGCAGATCAACGTCTTTCTTTTACTCCTTTTAAGAGGAAGCTAGACCACAGAATTTAAGCGGGGAATCTGTTTGAATATGAAATTTTATAAACTTTTCCTTCTTGGCAGAATTGACAGTCTGCTGTAGCTGAATAATGTCTAATGATACAGAGCACAAAACTTCGTAGAGTGACCACTACACAAAACAAATAAGAAGAAGTAGAAAAAAATGGCTGTTGGGTGAAAGACTGGATTTTAATTCCAGTCACGGACAATGAATTTTACCTTCATAACCAAGTCCAGATAAGCCGTGTGTCTAGCTCTGAGTCCAATGTGGACCGAGGTTTGTTACATGTAACTCGGTAAACTGATTAGCATATATTATTCCTTTAAAATATGGCTGTCTTCTGTGTTGTAGCGCCGTGTAGTCGGGTAGAAGTTTGCCGACGTTTTAGGGGTCATTGCTTCCTCCACCGTGAGGGCTATCACCCTGATAATGACCTCTGATAGACCTCTAAAACATTGGTAAACTTCTTCTAGACTACTCGCCGCTACAACCCACAACAAAGTCATCTTCGTACTCATCGCCGTGTAAACCTTAATTCCCATTTATGATTTACTAATATTTAAGTAGCAACTTCCGAAAGTCATAATTTTAGAACACGTACACAAAGGTGTGGAACATATTTCGTTAATTTGTCTGTCGCAGGCCTTTACAAAATGTTGTGGTTATTTTGATTTGATACATTTTATAAGGGTCTAAAGGAACTCTTGTAAGTATTTTTTAATATTTCTACAGATACTGATAAAATGTTATCTCACGGACCATCGTTACACATATATTAGACCAAATATGTGTGAGTTTTACTTTATTTATTTCTTCGTATGAATGAACTTATGAGATTGTTTTCATTTCTGACCTTACAGTATGTTTATATGCACCAAAAAGAAAATATTCAAGGAAATTTTTTGTTTCCATGAAGATATATTTTATATAATATTATCATATAGGACGCTGATTTTGAAAAATACATTTATAATAAAATGTCTATTCAAGAGTTTATAGCCTGGAGCGTTGGTTTTCCCTGACATCTAGCGAATGTTTGTTGAGTTTGTAAAGCACGGCCCCCTATTCTCACACAAAGCTTGTACGGCAGGCAGTGGTCAAGCCAACTTCAGAAGTTTAGAAGCCTGTAAATATTATCGTGTATTTCAAAGAATCGTGTCAGTGAATATGGTCGTAAAATACGTTTAATACAAACGCTGTATTTTGAAATTAATTTCTAAAAAAAACTAGTAACCTTTTAAAATTTTTGATCCACAGGACTGCGTTTTAATAAAAAGAAATTCTATAATTTGGAACAAATGTAAATGACACACATTGTTACAGCCATGGGAGCTAATAGACCAAATATTTCTTTTTCTGTAGTTTTATTAATTTGTTTGAGGGAAATCTGTTAGTGACCGGAAAATTGAAAAATTAAACAAACGTTATAAGCATACGTATTTTTTTCACCTCAATAGAAATACCAAACATATTCTAAAAGGCGGGAATTCCATACGAGCGAACATAATGAATTTTCGTACATGAGTTGATAAAAGTATAAAGTAATGTGATGTTATTTAACTGGAAATAAGAAGGAGGAGATGGGAGAAAAGTGCAAGACGAAGAGATACACCACGTGGTGGCAGGTAGAACAAAGAAGGGAGGTTAAGATTGGCGGTGAATTAGCATGCATCGGGAAATCCAGAAAAAGGCAAATAGTTATTCGGCACTTCGGCGTAAGTAGAAGTTTAAACTTAACAGACATTATTTCTTATAATATAATCTGCTTGACTTCAGCGGGCTATTTCTTCTCATCTGTTCCCTTCTCTTATCCCCGTTTCTTCCCTCTACGCCTCATCCCTCTATCATTCCCTCTCTTCACTCGATTACTTTAAACAATTTTCTTCACTTCTCTTATCCTCTCTAATCATCTAAACTCCCCAAATTTCGCTTTCGGAACAATGTCGCATAGGTTGCCAGGTTCCTTTTTTGGCTTCAGTTACATTTAGAGGTGAGCGTCCCTACTCAAAATTCATTTTCAATGGCACCTCGAGGCTCACGTACGTAAAATTTAACGCCTCGTAACGTCGTCCCGTTTATGAAAGTCGCTACGTACATTCGTCGTTAGTTATGTTGCGTCCGTTAGCACACGAAGCCTCGACTGCGGTAAAATTTGCCTCCTTCTGCTGAGGTCGCAACCGAAGACATCGCGACGAAAGATTTCTAGATGCCCATCGTCGGTTTTCTGGGTTCTTCTTCAACGTCACACGGAGACTTAGTACATGCGGTAAATTTTGGCGTCCCTTCAAGACGTCCGGACATGAGGCGTCTCGACCACTGGCGACGACTTTCTAAAGCGTGTCGAAATATATTCCAGTGGCTTCAGTCACATTTCTGGCGTCTTGTCATTGCATCGCGAAGGAAGACGTCGGGACGCTAGGAGTCGGTTTATCAATTCCGTTTCCTTTCTTATTACTTCTTCTCTTATCCTCTATTCTCCCTTCTTCGCCTCTCGTCTCTCCCTTCTCCTTTCGTCTCTTTTCATCTCAAATCTTTTCGTCTCTTCTCTTGTCCCATCTACTCTCTTCTCAAATCCTCTTCAGTTTTCGAATATATTCTCTCCTGTTCTCATTTCTCTTCTCGTCTATTTTCTCTTTTCTTCTCACATCATCTCTTCTCTCATTATTTGGCATAATGACGTTGGCGTAGTGATGAAAATTCTTTTCATCTTATCTTAACCCACTTTCTTTTCTTTTTATCTGTTTAATTCCAAGTTTTGTTTCCATAAATTACAGTCGGAACTGCCGGTTTTTAAAGTGTAATAATCGTGTTTATTCTTGATTCTCCTAAGATTTAAACACGCAGTCCATCGGCCTCCCTAAATGTATCAATGAATACGGCTTCATAGGGCCCGGGTTCTATTCCGCATTATTTAATTATTTCATGTAGTTAATCTTGCTTCGAGACCCTTAGCTGGCAAGTAGCAGGGATAAGTGTCCTAAGGTGCAACAATGACCTCGGATAATTTAATAAAAGTAAGACTCGAGGATGACATGCAGCAGTGATCTTGCGTGATCTGGTGTAAAGTACGCTTTTGAAATGCCTGTGTCCTCCAAAGAGAAACATTTACAATTTCGCTTTTAAACTTGAAGTTGAGAAACACCCAAGGCGCACTAAATGAATTGCTCACGACACTACAAGAGAGGTGTTAGTGTTTTCTAGCCGGTTCTCAGTCAATACAACCCTCATTTCAAATCTTCACTCCGATAAAATAGCAGCGTTCGAATGCGGGTAGCGGATGAGCGAAATTCCAATACCTGACCAGCCGAAGTGATACGATGGTGGAAAGATTCTTTGTTACTTCATTATCAGCCAATTCACTTGCCTTGTTGAAATAAGAATTCTGGCAGCGGAACTCTGTTGAGTGACGGTGTGTTGGCTCCTTAGAGACACCCCACGGCTCATCAGTGCTCCACTGTGCTGTTGGAATGAAAGACGTGGAGGTGATCAGTGGCGTGCAGCTAATGTCGGTTCGTACATTTATTTTGTAGTTTCAATTGTGACATAAGCAAATAAATTAAACAGAGGGACAATTCAGAATTACGAAACATTTTCTTTTCACAGAAAAACTAAATTACGAAAATCCGTAACCATACAAAATTTAGTCATTTGTTAAGGCACCCAAATATTTAGTTTGCTACGGCTTAATTGAATTTACGAAGAAATTAAAATCAGATTAAATTCGGGGAGTGCTTGCTACTATATTGATGCTACATTAAGTAGGATATGAGGTTCTGGCTGCGGTTAGTATGAAGATGGCTGTCTTCCAGGATGTAGCGCTGTGTTGTCTGGTAGAAGGGCGACGCCCTTATGGTGGAGGAGGCAAGGACCCCTGAAACGTTGATAAACTTCTAGAGACAACACAGCGCTACAACCCAAAAGACAACCATCTTATGATGTTACACTGTCCTGTAAGTGTCATTTTTAAGCTTTAATATACCCCGGTGTGTTAAAGTTTAAAATTTCTGACTTTATACTGGATGTCCTATTCTCCAAAAAAATTATTTTCTTACTAAGAGATTAGGCCTAGACATTTCTGCCAAGTGAAAGAATATCATACATTCGATAGAAGTTCATTAAATATTTTCTGCCGTACTTCAAATATCGTGACAAATCTCAAACGATAATACTTCCGTGCATAATAAATGATGTGTCTCGTTATACGCGCTTTATCTGACCATGGTTTTATTTTAGAATCATGAGTGCCTCAATATCTTATCCGCGGTCATGATAGAAGATGTCAGGGAAATTACAAATTAAGGCCACCCATAATGCATAGCTCAGAAAATGTACGGGCATGATATGTTCCTATTGTAGGAGTTTTCGATGTACGCGGAAATTTACAGTAAAGCAGCCCCCGCGTGTAACGAGAGTCACCTGTTCTTAGATATCAGGTGTTAGATTTTGCGAGATTTGTTAAGATATCCTTAACGTTCATTGAACGTCTGGCGCTGTAATTCCAACGGCCCCAAGTAAACAACAGCTAATATTTTCTGAATCTAAAGTACAATGGTTCAAAAGTTTTGCATTGCAAACCCTTTTCTGGAAACTGTGACTCGCCTATCTTGGTTAATAAATAATGATTGAAACCCAAGCAAAATAACCTAAATATAAAATATATTTGCATTCTGAGCTCTTACCTGAAAGAAAATACAACGCATCTCCATTGGTATTATAATTGGCCAATGCAGTTGAACGAAATAATCATAATTTATTTTTGGAACCGTACGACACACATAAAAGCAGTCTTTAGGCAAAATTCAGATTCAGTGACTGTGAATCAGAAGATGATATTTATTACTATCGCCGGGGTTTTGAATTAGTAAAATTATGATTTGCATTTGTTGGGTTTCAGTCGGAACTCTACATGCTTGAAAGAAGATTAATCTTCAACCACATATCCGTCTAAAATTGAGACCTGCTCTAAATCAGTTTCACATGCTTGAAGCAAGAAACAGGAAATACGTGGTAACAGGAAACACATTTCTAGTATCACCTGCCAATATCTTGAGTAACTGAAACATGTTCGTTCTCTTCCTATCGTTCCTAATGAAGTTCTGGTTGAGTAGAGAACACTTCTAGCCCTTTCTCTAACGCACAGTAACAAATTGCTCCTTGCACTGTGTCTGTATTGAGACGTCGGCTTTACTACACAGTCCATCTTTTCATTTTCTCTCGAGCTCCTGTCGGATCAGTGTTTCCAGTGGCGTACTGCACGGTTTTTCTTTACTTTTTCCTACTGCATTACCTCAATGATCTGATAATGCCGGTAACCGCTTCCTTTCAGGCGAAGACGTAGACCACAGGAGTGTTGGAATTCTTAAATTTTTCGATTTAAAATGTTATGTGTTGAAATTTGATATATTATGTTAATTTAATGATATGACTATAACCGGAAGATGACATATCGATGTCGAAATATGTTTTTATGAACGCCAAAACTGATTTATATTTGAAAGGCAAATTGTTATATAGTTAGTTCAAATATATAACGGAATATGATATATACGAAGAACATTGAGCATCAGAAGATTGTACTTTCAGAGGCTAAATGCAGTAAATCCTGTGATGAATTTTCTCTGCTTAGGTGGTCGGTTCGTCGTTACATCTGGCGGTGACCTCCACATAAAGTCGGCGCAGTCATCGGATGGTTCGGTGAGCTATAGTTGCCTCACTCTCCACTCGCTGACCGGTGAGAGACGCCGAAGTGCGCCGGCCAACCTCATGGTCACAGGTGAGGGATTTGTACAGTTCTGATAACATAAATCTCTCACAACGCTTTGTCGTACTTCACACTCAGTTATGTGAGTTACAGAAAAGTGTAGGATTTCGAGATTTTGATGTGTCCAAAAATGACTTTTTTTCCGGATTGTAGCGCCGTTTAGTCTGGGCGATCGCCCTGATGATAAAGGCAGCAAGAACCTCTGAAAAGTTTGTAAACTGCTACCAGACTACACGGCGATACAACCCAGAAGACAGTCAACTACAGGAAAATGATTTTTGACAGAACCGATTGGACAGACACACAACGCAAGTTCGCTTTCTGTCCAGAAAACTCACCTTAGTATGGCGTAACCTGGCAAGTGGCTGCTGCCGTAGTTAAGTATTAAAAATTAGTGTGTACAGAACATTTAAAGTACCTGGTGTGGTTGGGTTAAGACAAAGTTAGTTTAAATAGCCTCGGCATTTACTGACCAGCAGGGTGATTAGCCTATCATTTTCTCAAGAATGACAACTTTATTTAATTATTTATCTGGCTAATGCAGTATTAGAAAAATTCTCAACCCACGTACTTGGTACAATGAATCATAAAACAAGATTCGTCTTTATTGTGATCCAGTGTGTCCCATTACTATCTCCGTATAAATTCTAGTCTGTCATTTTGGAACACACTGTATCTTCCGTCCCTTTTCCACCAATAATTAATCTGTAAGGGAAATACGATCTGACTGGTTGAAATAAACTCTACCTTCCAATGAACCTCTCATCCAAACTCCTGCATCGGTTGTGGATTTTCATTTCCATAATGATGCATTGTCTAAATGAATAATCACTAGGCGAAAAGAGATATCCATTTCCATATATACAGTGCTCATGAACTAACAATAGTGGCTATAATTTAGGAGCTTCGCCCTCCACGTGCATTAGTACAAACAATAAAATATTGCCTTTTTCGGCAAATAGTTCGCATTTCACAGTGTGCAGTGCATCTATGGTTACTGCTTTTCCTGTGATAAGCGAAATAACTGTGAAAATTATTCACCTCTCTTGTTAGGGTTCTCATGGGCTGTAACTTTTTATAATACTAATAACCTCCGTAGGAACATTGGCAGTCTAAAACTAACTCTACGGAGCAGAATTCATCTCCGAAACCTAATCTTCGCTCAGATAATCACGCAAGTCCACATCTCTGATTTAACCAATGTTTCGGCGAAACACACTGTCTCCATCTACAGACACGAGGGCTCCCTACCTGAATCAAAATACAATACTTTTCCATTTTAAAAATTAAGTGATTAATAATCTTTACGCTGACAATCGTAATGATGGTTCTTAGGGTGAGTCCTGAAGATGGATGCACTAATCAGATCTGATAGTCGGTCCGCATTTACCAGATTACATAGAGTAACGTACCAAAAAGATAACCATCGTGAGGACCTGAAATCTTAAAGGCGTAGGGATCTGTTTCAGTTTTCTTTAAGGAAAGTGACTGAGACAGTTAGAATACTCAGGACAGCGTTTACCGGGACTCGATGCTTTGCTGGTGCGAACGAGAAGTGCCAGCGTTGGGCGTGTGAGTGTTATCGCTAATGATGAGATTCGTGTCGTTGCAGATCCTACCGGAAGCATGCCACCGCGTCTCACTCAGAGGAGCGTCACAGTATTGTCTGCAGAACAGGGCGCCGACGTCCATCTAAGTTGCGCTGCCCAGGCTAACCCTCCGCCCACATTCACGTGAGTAAAATTACCATGTCGAGGTCTGAGATTCTCGCTGCATTCAAGTTAGCCTTGAAGATGGTGGCAGTATGTTCCTCCGAAACGTCGGTAACTATCTGAGGTTCTATGCAGTGTCACAACTTAGGGAACCCGACATCGTTCAACTTTCAAAGTTTCGGAGAAATCTAACGCCTCCATGTTCGGTGTAGCTAACCGGAAGGTCGCAGTCCACAATCTCACAGCCTCGAAGATCTAGCCACATCTTTAATATTTGTGCACTTTGAATAAAATTGCATTGCGTTAATGATATTTTAATATTTTGCGCTCCACATTAATAGTTGGGTAGGATAATTCGTTTTAATGCTGCTGGAAATAGAAAGAATGGCTACCACGGTTTGGGTTCTAGTTTATAGTAAACACTGATTAGTATCCTAATTCAATGAAGCTAAGTCTTTCTTGAGAAGTAATTTGTCGCTTTGTTGGTCTGCATATTCCCCGAATTTTAATTGACTGAAGGCTTGTTATCATGTTCAGAAGAGCCAGTACGTATTTGAGTAGAAATGTTTACATTAATTAGCTCTTTTGTGTTATTGTTGCATTACACGCAAGATAAAACACTTAGTATCTGTCTTACATATTTATTACACATATTGGATTAATTTTGATTAAATTTTGGTATTTATTCTAAATTTCACGAAGCGATTTATAATTTGGTGTCTGGTTAGTAAATTATAATCCCCGCGTTACATGAATCCTAGGTGGAATTTTGTACCATTTCTCAGAATCTATGTCTTATTGGCCCTACAGGAAATTTATTTGCAAGTTAAAAATGTATTTCTTAAGTCTAAAACTTTTCTTTCAAATATTTGTGGATGTTATGAATACTTATTGAAATTCTGATCAGCGTATTTTTTTATTCTGCAGTGCAATGTTTGTAGTGTGATTTTCCTTGTAATATACGTTTTGTGCATTAAACACGAAGTTTAGGTTAGGTATCAAAGTAGCGAAGAACTCATTAGAAAAACTCCTTTCAAATACAGCTCTTTGTTGGGCCTATGCCTATGTCATTTGTCTGTCCCCTTTACGTTTTCCTAGTACATTCATCGGATAAGATGTTTTTGGTTATAACTGTGAAGTTACGAAAGGTTTCTAAATCTGTTACATAATATGGACTTCAGTTACTTCCATGCAATGTAATGTGTATACTTTTCCATCACCGTTTATACTCTAACCGTAGGAAGTTTTCATACGACGAAGCTGAAAGATAAATTTCACCAACTTTAATCACCTTCTAATTTTATAAGGTGTTTCTTTTGAGCATAACAGAACTGTGGATTATGTAAACATGGTATAAACTGATGGAAAGCGATACCTGAGGCTACCCTTTGATGTTTAATGTATGGTTATGATATTATTTACAATAACTTAATTAACAGCATTACAGTAACGCTATCTGCCTGGTGAATCGTCAAGTAGCATCAAACTTGATCGGGTGACAGAAGGCTTGTCATTTATCTCAGTAACTCGGTTAACTAATTAACGAAATTTCGTAATTATACATAGAGGTGGCCGTGATCACAGCTGGATCGATCGTACATGAGTGTTCAGCGCGGTACACATAATAGCACTGTCACCACACATGCAGCACAATGTGTATTATCTAGTAAGCCGCAAAGTCGACAACATGGCGGCGTATTGAGGTTATATCAACTCGGCCTTTGATGTAGTGATCATGTTAGCATTTCAGTTTTGTAGGTCTCTCTTGCCATATTTAGTATTGGGTTAGTTGATTGTTACTGTATGTAAAGTTCATTGTTACTAGTATTTGCGGATTCTGTACGATTTATTTGCGTCATGGGACTGAATTTTCTATCAAATATCTATATATAGTATCTTTCAGATGTGGTTATGAATGGTATTCTTTAATTTGTAACTTCCGAAATTTGTTATAAATATCTAAGTCAGAGAATGATAACGTCTCAGAAATAAAGTTCTTCTTTATTTCTGGTGAATTAAACTCCTTGGTCTGTTCTGCCTAAGAATTTACTAATAGAAGAATTTAGTTTATCATAACCTACAAAATTGTTGTTATATTTCAGTGAATAAATTCTAAATTTTACGCATTATGCCCTCTGTTCAATTTCAATACAGAATTAATTAATTTTATTTGTTAATTATCTCTGAGGTCAGAGACTTGCTAACATTTATCTTGAAATAATTTTATTATCTCAGATAAAAATTTCATTCATCTTTCGCGTTTTAAGCTCTCGGGTCCGTTCCGAACCAAAATTCATTGTGAAAGAATATATCTTTTACAAATTTTATAGATATCT